CCCCTGCGCGGAGCTGCGGTATGACCAGCCCTCAGCGCCCGCAGGGGTTGTCTGTGCCACTGTCCCGGCTCACGCAGACACGCGCGCCCGCGGTGACCCCCGAGCCCCTCCGCAGGTGCTGACACTCCCTGAGCTGCAGATGCTGTTTTCCCACGTTCCTCAGAGAACACCCTGGTCAGCGCCTGGGCTAGGGAAGGGACTTCGGATCGTTACGGGAATACACGAGAACGGGTCTGAGTGACTGTCTGGGGAGTGCTCTGGAGTTCTGGAAGTGTTTCGGGAGAGAACTGTTCAAGGAGAGACCTGTGCTGTTCAGGAAGCCTGTCCCTGGGAAGTGGAGAAACTGGGAAGGATTTGGATGATGATCCAGACTTTTAAGCCTGCTTTAAACTGAGACATCAGAGAAATCCATTTGCCTTATGGAAAAAAAAGAGGCAGGGGCTGATGTGCTGGGGCCAGGACTGGCATGCAGGGAAGAGTTCTGCAGCACCGTGGGCGGATGAGCTCAGCCTCCTGCCAGTCTGGTGTGCTGCAGCAATCAAGGTGAAATGCTAAAGGCCTTTAGTGAGAGCAGGGCAAGTCCACTCAGCCAACACTGAAAAGACTATTTTCTCCCTCCAGTAAGAGTTGAGTCTTGTTCCTTACTCCTGCTTTTCTCAGAGGGCAGGGCCGCTTTGGGCTTCAAGACACTAACACACCCTGTTTTAGCGAGGCTGGGTGTGTTTTGAAAGTGAGTCAGCTATTCTGAGGTAGTGCTTATGTGGCTGACCTCACTCTGCTAATGAATTACCTACTCCTAATAGAAAGTGTGGTAAACAATTAAATGGCTTCATTCAGACCTTTCTGATTCAGTACAAGGAAATTACATTGTTCGAGTTTCACTGTAGACAGAGGTGTCTGTGTTCTCCTGTCTCCTCCAGCACTTTGCTCTCAGCCATTCCACTTCCTGCCCTTGCCTCCAGCCGAGCCCAATGGCTGTGAGAGTAGCACTGGCTGGAGCAAAGCCCTCCCGAGTGCCACAGGGCCGTAGGCAAGTGTTTCCTACCAGCCTTCCAATGGCAGTGATCAAACAAGGTGACTAAAAGCCATCTGAAAAGTCAGTGGGTGCAACCATGCTCAGCAAGAGGAGAAAGGGATTTTAAATACCTGAAAGAACCTTGAACAGGCTGAGTAAGAAAGGTCTCAGACTCCAGCTGATGGTATTTCTGTTGAGTAGACATTCTGAACACCACATTTCATCAGCCAGGATTTCAGGAGATAGGCCAGGGTTTGGTGGGCAGAACACTAGGGAATCAGGGAGATAGGGGCAGGAAGGATAATTTTCCTTGGATTAGTAGTTAACACTGCTGTCAGTAGTTAACACTGCTGACAGCTTCAAATCTTAAAGATTTAAGAAGTTGGTGGCAACCAGTAGCAGCTAAGGGGGGGACGGAATCATTGGGAGTAGGGAGAAAGGGGGACAAACACTTTCTAGAAAGGAGGGAATATATGGAACTGTGATGTGCGGAAGAATGGAAAAGCAGGGTGAACACTAACAGAGGGATTAGCTGTTTGCAATAAAAGTGTAGAAGTAGGAAAAAATAGTGTAGGAGTGTAAATGCGACAGACAGGAGATGTTGAAAGGACAACGTCCTCAAGCCATGGAAGCATCTGAGTGGGCTAAAGTAGTATTTATTTTAAGGTTTCCTACTGAGTCAGTCTGTTTCTCTCTGAAATTACCAAAATAGAACTGGGCTGTTTTATAATCCCTGAGGAATTGACTGGGATTCTGCACGTCTCCCCTCAGCACAGAGCTGCTACCTGTAGTGAAATACCTTTATCCCCTCTGGTCACAACACCAACCAACGTTTGGGTGTGAGCCTGCGTGGGGGCTGTGCTCTGCTGCCCTGTCACTGCCAAAGAGCTCCAGCCTGTGCCCTCTGCACCACTGCCCACTCGACCCTGGAGCCAGCTGCTCCAGGGAATGCTGAACTGAGACAGGGAATAACAAGGCTGGATGGCTTTCATCCCCGCTGCAGAGTTCCCGCTGGTGTGCTTACACTGGGATCGTTCCTTTTCCTGCTGGCATGGCTAATTTTCATCCTGAAATCACGTCACTGTACTGCTGCTGGCACAGCTGTATCTGTTCTGGAGCTGTTGCTTTATTTTTCTGCTAGCACAGCCCCAGTAGCAGGAAGGTAAATAAATCCCTTGGCCATTAGCACTGAATAAGCACAGTGCAAGGTGCCTTTCTGAGCAGCAGGTTTGGCCAGAAACCCTTTTGGCAGAGTGGAACAGCAGCAAGTGTTGGGGTCTGCTCCCCGTGGCAGTGGGGCTCAGCCCCAAGGGCTTGTGAGAAACAGGCAAAGCAAAGAAGGCTCTGCTTGAACGGCTCAAGTGGGTTGAGCCAGGGTCGAGGAAGTGCTACAGCTCACATTGAGAAAGATTTTTAAGTGCTGAGAGTTCCTGATGCCCATAATCCCCTGTGCTCTCCACACATTTCAACATCCTGCATTAATCAGGGAAGTAGACTTAACTGAAAAAATAATCCCCCAAACCATGCAACTTCTGCTCCAAGGCTGAAATAGCTGCTGAAAACATCCTGTTTTTGTTACGAAGCTGCACTGGGAGTTAAGAAATATCCCGGTGAGGATTGTGCAATCTGAGTTCAAAGCTCAATGACTCAGGGGTAACAGCAACCAGGGTGGTGCTGGCTGTAGGTTTTGCCCCAGTCTCTGCTCAGCCTTGAAGGAGCCTTGAACATAGGTACAGTAATAAAACAACCAATGAATTGGTGAAAGTGAGAAGCTGCAAACAGGGAAAACAAAAGGCACAAAACCCTTCAAATCCCAAGTTTTTAATTATGGAAATAGTGTACTAATGCTTGGAAGTGTTATGCCTTCCCTCTGAGAGCCCAAGCTTCTGGCCTGGGTTAGGACTCCTCAGTCCCACACTAGGTTTATACTCAGTGCTACGAGGCCTTGTGAGGAGTGGCTTCTCCTGAAGATGTGCTCACTCCTTTGAAGGAGTGAAAATTCATCTGCAGAAGGACCTGAGCTACTGGGCAGAAGGATGGCAGATGAAATTTGGCACAGACTCATTATTTCCTGGGGGAAAACAATCCTAATTCCAGCCATTCAGCAGCAGCCTGGCAAACCAGGATTGCTGTGCAGACATGTCAGAATTACTACTGAATCACAGTATCATTAAAGTTGCAACAGATCTCTAAGATCAGAGTCCAATTGTAGCAACTCTATGAAATACTCATCAGATCCATGGTTGGCAGGAGTTAAAATTTTCAGGGAAGGAGTAAAAAGAAGAAAGTATTGCCTGAACCCTGGCATACCTGCACTTGGAGTGTCACACACGCAATTCCTGTGCTCAAATGGCAAAAAGGACACTGAGGCAAGACACAGTTTCCATGGGAGAAGTGGTTGAACAGGCTGGTTTTCTGCACTGAGAACACAAAAGAACTGGTTGTGAGGCACTGGGGATGCACAACGGTGATACAGACTTCATGTAGGTCTGGGCAAGTACAAGGGGATCCGTGCTGGGCTACCACCGGTGCAAAATGGGACAGAGCCAGGAGACAGCTAAGCCAGTGAGAGAGCAGTGGCTCTGGGACAAGGGGAGGGACAGCAGGTGCTGCTTCTGTTCTAGGTCCCCCCTGACATGCACTAACAGAGGGCAGATAACACGATGGGCCTTGGCCAACAGGCTCTTCTTCCCCCAGTCCTGTGCCAGCGCTGCAGCACAGGCTGCAGGATGGCTCAGCTCCCTGCCCCAGTGGCTCTTCATTAACCTGTTACAGCCTGTTGCTGGTAGCCACACTGGGAGTTCCGTCACCCAGTGTACAATCACTGCCTGGCCCTGTGCCAACGTGTTCCCCCTGCAGGAAAGCCTTAAGGGAGGTCCAGTAAGCAGTCTGGTGAGGTCTGTCTGTTCTGTGCCACCCTCTGCTCTGCCAGGCTCGTTACACACGGGGCAGGATGTGGCACTGATTCACAGCCTGCAGAGCTCATGAATGCTGTTTGCTGCCCTCAGCCTCACTGCACTACATGCTCCAGTGCTCCGAGTCTGCCCCTGTGAGCACCCACATGGGCTGATGAACAGGTAACACACCCACCACGTTTCACCCAACTCACCCAGACAGATCAAGCCACAGCCTTAAATAAAGTACACTTTTTTTATTCAGAGAATCACAGTAAGCTACTGAGACTCACAGCTGCTTGCCCCGGCATAGCTTCCCAAACATTCCCATGCAACTTTTGAAAACATCAAGTACACTTCAAGGATTTGGAAGATGCACCATCACAAGCAAAACCTGCACAGGACATTGGGATTTCTGCCAGAACAGCAGCCCCCTGCGAGAAAAGCAGGCGGGTGCACAGCAAGGGGAGCAGGGAGCGAGGGGGACAGGCGGCAAACGCCGCCTTTATTGGGGAACATTCTAAGGAACCTGCTGCAGAAGCTGCTCGATGTCATCCTGGATCTGGATGGTTTCGAAGCGCCTGCTGTAGCGCTTGAAGGGAACACCGTCGGGGCCGATGAGGAACTTCTCGAAGTTCCAGGCGATGTCGTTGCGGCACACCGGGGACCAGATGATATACTGCGGGTTCGTCATCAGCGAGGAGGGGTCGTCGTGCGGGAAGGGCAGCGCTTCTTTCAGGAAGGTGAAGAGAGGGTGTTCGTTCTTCCCGTTCACCTCGCACTTCTCGAACATGATGAAGTTGGGCTTGTACCCGTTGCCAGGACGAACGTGCTCCAGCATGGGCAGGATCTCATCGTTGGTGGCGTTTTCCTAGGGAACAAAGACAAACCCGCCCGAGCAGGACCGTGAGAGCCGGGCCGGGGTGGTGGTCGCGCC